TAACATCTCAAGTGAGCTATCTGGGGTGAAAGCCATTCTTTGTAGCTTTTTCTCTCCAGCTTCCCATTGCTTTGGGACCCCACAACCAGTTAGTGTCTTCTCCCCAACTGTCAGCACAGAGTGTTATACTTTGTACTTTTAGATTGAATGTAGTAAGAAATACAAACACCATGTGAAGGTGAATTTTGATACCTATCCACTGCTCAGTAATTGTGCTAAAAAATTGCAATAAAACCACTGTTGAAGCGTTCAAGTTCCTGTGTGATAGAGCAAATAAAAAACTAATGGTTAAGTCCACAAAAATGAATGTTCAGTGTTGACACCACTGGTTCAGTAGAGTGTGATGGATTAAAATATTCTCTGTAAGTACCTGCTGATGAATAATAGAATAGCAGAAGCTTTAAACATGTTATAATTTTACCAGTTTTGTAAAAAATCTGTCCAACTTAGCCTTTTTTGGTTCTATACATAATTTTACTACATTCAGTTGTAGCACTTCATACCAAGTTTAGCTTTAGGTTGTCTTTTCTCAATTTCTTTGAAAATATTCAGCTTGTAGTTGTTTTGTGAAGAATATTCATAGGCTAAAAAGTCAAATCATATCATGCATTTACAACAAAAAGATAGCAGCCCTCTTCCGTCTTTCCATCCCTGACTTACATGGGACTGCTGCCTTCGTCTTTTGTTTACTTCTACATTTCTAAATAATATGCAGCTGTGTAACTATTTCTAATCTGTTCTGATTATGAAGGGAAGGTTTAGCTCTTAACCTATATAAATTCCTCTCTTCTGCGTCTTCTAACATGTTGGAAACACAACCTCCCAATAAAGTAAGTACTAAAATATGTATGCTTTGTTTAATTATTTCCTAAATCTCTGACTTATTTGTAAAGTTTTCCTCAGTTACATTCAGTAGTCTGTCAACTCGATCATCTTCTTGGTCTCCTCCTTTCCTGAATCCCTATCCTTTTGCCTTCCTCTGGACTATTTGTTTTTGACCATCTCTGTAGGCGGTGGTGTTTCCTCTCACCAGTGTTCTAGGAATTGTCTCCGCTTCTTCATGTCAGATCCCTGGTTTCCTGTATTTTTGCCTTGTTTTGGTAAAG